CTCCAGGAGTCGACACCTCCCCCGGCCTCTCCCCGACTCTCAGCCCCGGCTCCGGAGCCAGGAAAATGGTCGTTTCGGCGGAGATGTGTTGCTTTTGCTTCGACGTGCTTTATTGCCATCTATACGGATACCAGCCTCCTCGAACACCCAGGTTTACAAACGACCCCTAGTAAGTAACGTTAGCAAGATGGCTATTTTGACCTGCTTTGCTACAACAACAGATGGTGTGCTTTCCTGTTCTCTGTGCTCGAACCAGTAAGTTTAAAGTCTTCGTGCTCATGGGCGAAGTTTTGCTCGTGGCTGTGTCGGTCTGATGCCGCTATTGTCATGATAATTACTTTGTTTTATGCCCATACACACCAAATGCAGTAATTAATAGTTTACTTGCTAACCCAGCTAATCCAAGCCCTCTCGATTAAAAAAAAAAAAAATCTACTGTCATGTTTCCAAGCTCATGTTTTCTAATAAAAAAGTAATTAATAAAGTATAAGTATATAAATTTTATTAATCGTCAAATTACTGGAATCAGTATACATATTTGATAAATAAATCTAATATGTGGGGTTAAAAGTTTTTTTAGATGTGTAATTTCGAAGACTGAGAGTAAAATTAATCTGTCATTAATGCGCTCGTTAATTGGGTAAAGCAATTTTCTGTTCTCTGAAAGAGATTAAATGGGTGTTAGCCTGCTCTTCTTTAAGCTTCTCTGCAAGCTAACATGCTAACCAACAAACACGATTCTCATTCGCCGAATATTTTCCTTTTTCGATTTATTAGCTCTCATGTTCTCTTTCTTTTCCTATTTAGTTAGATTTTTCAACAAAACAAAACAAAAAAAACACCGAGTGGTATTTCGTTTTGATTCAATGTGAAGCTGCTGCCAATGGTTAGCTGAAGTGAGCTAGTAAGCTAACAAAGCCCAAGAGTTGTTTACTTTTCCCACAGATATTTCGTTTGAAACCTCTCACAGTACTGTTCGTTCAATTTGCAGTCACACGCTTATGCGAAGGTACAACAATACATGATATCAGGACACGAAAGAATATTTAACTTGCATGTTAAGTGTTAAATCTACAACGGTTATTTAAATCATTTAATATTTCTATATTCAAAATTTTATATTTAAAACATTAACCTCAACATGAATTTATGAATTTAATTGCACTCATGCGACCTCTGAGCCTCATTAAATGTCTGAAAATACACCTACAAGCCACGTGTGTGTTCTTCTGTGCCAACTCTGTAACAAATTTATTTCTTAAATACTGATTTCATTTGATTGGTTACTTATTCTTCTTATTCTACTTGTTCTTATTCT